ACCGAGACATCCCTCATGAAATAATAATGACGAAGGTGTGTTCTTAGGTAATTTCAATCAATTTTTTACCACCTTCATTACCGGAGCAAATATGTGATTCCAATCATGCTCTGATAATGTCATAATTTGAGCTGTATATATTAGTCTAGGTATTAATACTCTATTGATTAGGTAAATGCATTGACCAGCTGAAACGAATTTCCTACGGACTATAGTACAAAAATCGTTGACTATCATAGATAGGCGTTTCATCCATCTTCGTCTGCTCGGTTTATTGGAGAACCAGACTCTGAGATACCTTATTTCCTCATTTGTGGCTTGAATTATAGAACGATCACGACCTAGTTCAATATTTTGTTCGTGCCGTTCCACAGTTGGGTTGATGATTATCAATTCTGACTTCTTAGCTTTGATATCAATATCATTAATTATATAGAATTCATTTGCTATATCTACTATATTTTGCATTCTAAATCTTGATGATTCTAAGAATATCGTATCATCCATATATGCACATACGTGTACCTGAAGCCTGTATTGCGTCCATGTGATAGGGTCATTAATATCATTCGGCCAGGTAACCTTCATTTCATATCCGCTGTCTTTGATTTGCTGTATTCTTATCAACAGCAGATCATAAAAAATTCGCCACAATAGTGGGGAAAGTGCGTCGCCCTGATCAATTCCGTCATTTCCGGTGAACCCATCACGTAGTCCATACGCTGTGGCTACTTTAAGGTGTCTGTGTTTGAAGAGGGCTATAATCCATTCAACCAATGATGCTGGGATGTCAATACGAAGCATGGCTCATTTTAAAACCTCTAATCCCACTGAGTCAAACGTCTTTTTCATATCCTGTGTGAGGACCCATAGTTCTTTACTGTTTTCCCTGGCCATAGGCCAGTGTTGGGCAATTGGACAAATTCACGTTTTGGACATTTGTCCAAAACCCTGTCCAAAACATGTCCAAAACCAAAACCCATTTCTGAATGGACAGGTTTTGGACAATCACGTGATTTTAATTAATTAATTTTATCGAAATATTAATTTTAATCAATATGAAAACTAAAATTGTTTTATTATCTGTTATGTTTATTTTAATTAGAACAAAATTGAGTTACTTTATTATAAAAAATTTCAATTAAACTCTGAAGATAAAGAAATAAACTCAGGTTTTTCCAATTCTCTAATAAAAATATCACGTAAATCCCACTTTGCATTAATATCAACAGCAGGATGTGTATATGAACTCAATAGATCATTATTGATAAGTTCACCATTATTTATACCAGTAAAAGATTGTGTTTCTTCTAAAGCCAATAATTCCTACCATTCTTCCAATCTTTCTTGCCAATCTTCCTCAGTAGTTATATAACCAGTCTCATCCTGAAGATCTTCAAGCATTTCTTGAACATTAGCTTGTGATTCTTCATTTTCATTATTGATTTCTTGATTATTTTGTTTAATAATTAGTAATAATTGTAATTTTTTAGATTCACATTTTCGCTTCTTTTCATTTTCAGTTTGATGGATATCAGCACGAAGTTGAGCCATAGCTACAACTTTTTCATACTAAAATAAGTTAATAAAATTTAAATGTATGTTATAATTAAATTTATAAAATAATGAATACAATATGTTAAAATATATACCTTTAATTTATTTCTTCGTGGAGTATGCAAAAATCCCATTGATGAAAATAATCTTTCAACAGAAGCTGAGTTCACACAAATACTAAAAATTTTTGTAGCAATAAGACCTAATTCCTTATACAATGTAGAACAATAATACCAGTATGCTAAGATATCATTTTCAAATTGTTCAAATGTATCATTATTAAAAGGTGATTTTTTAATTCGATAAGATTCAAATTCAAAAAGTAGTTTTGTTGGCTTTTGAGATGTCCATGCCTGATAATAATAGCAAAGCCAGTCTCCCATCACTACAAAATTAATTGATTCTAAATCAGGATTAAACTTATCAAGCCTATATTTAGGATGAAGAATCAATGCAAGTAGCAACAATGGCTGCTCCCAATCCTTCCAACGTTTTTTAAGATGTGAAATCATGCCCTCAGCCAAAGATCGATCTCCATTTTCTTCCCAAAATTTAATAAAATATCCAAAAGCTAGAGCAACATCAAATAGCCGAGCTTTATCTGCCTGTAATTTGTCAAGTGCTCCACAATAAGGTTTCATCAATGTTGCAAGTTGCGAAATTTGTGACCAAAAAGAATCATTCATAATTATTTGGCAGATATTAGTTGGAAGGTATAATTCAGTAGATCTTGAAGAAGTTGCTTCAAGAGGTTCGTATCGTGTAGCTAAGTTCTTTTTAAAAAAAATACCAATTAATATATTAATTTTCAATATTCAAAAACAATAAAATTTACTTACTCTTAGTGCTTGCTTAGTTCGAATTAAACTTTTATAACATTCATAATAAGAATTCCATCGTGTATCCCCAGGTTTGATTATTGCATAACGTTTATTATAAAGTTCTAGTTGTATTTTTCTTAATTTCCCAATAAAATATGCATTATTCGGTTGAGTAAAGTAAAGAAATAGTTTAACAGCATCAGCTGATGCTTTTGCCAAAGTACTGGATTCTTTAAAAATTTCGCCAACAGCCAGATTACATTGATGTGCAAAACACGGCAAAAAGACATATTCAGGGTATTTAAGACGAAGTTGCCGTCTATATAATAAAATATATAAGAATAAGTATCATATTTATTAATTATTATAAAATTATTAATTAATAATTAAAAAATTCTTACCGTGCCGAAGCATATGCAGCAGCACTATCACTTACGATTGCAGCTATTTTAATTGATTTTTCTTTTAATTCCCCGATAATTTGTTCAATGTGTGGTATAATATCAATTGCACGCTCTCTTTGACCACTTATATCAACTGCTTTCCACACTAATGTCTCACCAGAAGGCAGTACAATCATAACACCAAATAATTCTTGATTTATGATGTTTTTCCACCCATCAAATGAAAGGGTAATACCAGCTTTTTCGTGTATTTGATTTAACTTTTCCTGACGTAAATTTTCAATATTTTCAATAGCCTGATCTAAAATTGGACCAGCTAATTGTTTTCGATCTGGTAATTTCAATTTTGGATTTAACCAATTAAAAAATCCAAGAGTTGAAGGATTATTAACCCAATGAAAAGCCCAACCATTAGCTACTGTCATTCTAATTAAAAAATTGTAAAATGTAGGTATTTCAGATTTAGAAATATTTCGTACAGAATGTTTAGTTAGCGTTGACTGTACTTTTTTACTAGAAAAACTTGATTGACTACTTGATGATGCATGTGTAAAATTTGTGCGAAAACTTGAAATAGATGTAGCGTCATCTATTAAAAATAAATTTATTAGTATTTTTCTTAAGAAGAAAAAGAATTTCTTAAAAAATTTAAGATTTACCATCAAGACGCATTCGTTTACTTGAAAAAAGTTCATCTTCACTATCACTATCTTTCAGTATCTCCTCAGCTTCTTCAATATTTAATTAAAAAATATTCACAGTTTTTCAAATGTTTTTTGATTCTTTCTTTTCTATTTATAATACTTTTAGCATTTTCTTTTAAAACTTCTGCACATGCTGTACATACACATTGCCGGTCTTTGTCACCTGGATTTATTTTATTTAATATCTTCTTACTGTAAATATAAACTTGCTAAATATATATAAAAAAAAGATTATCTTGTATTTAACGATCGGCAAAATCTGTTCAAAACTAGTTTAGGACAGTTTTGGACAGTCCAAAATTAGTTTAGGACAATCCTAAATTAAATTTGGACAGTCCAAAACTCATAGACTTTTGGACAGTTTTGGACAGTTTTGGACATGTCCAAAACTGTCCAAAACTGTCCAATCGAAAAAAGCATTTGGACATGTCCAAAACCCAACACTGCCATAGGCACAAGTCCAGTTTGTAGTGTCAAGTTTCCGAACTTGACCATGAAGAGGATTAATTCCTCAGGCAATTGTAAGATGATTCTGTAATTTATACCAGACAACCCCGCAGCCTACTCTTTATTTAATTCTTTAACGGTATTATTCCATTCTGCCATAGTGATCTTTTCTATTGTAGATTCCATCACTTCTTTGAATTTACCTACGGGTTCATAAATTTGTCGCCAAATTGGTGTCATTGTATCCAGCAGTGTGTTTCTTTTCCTAAACATGTTCGCGAAATCATTGTCCACTGCTTTCTTAACTTCTCTCAGTTCTGTAGCTAGTCTTTTAGTCGAAATTCCTGTTTCCTCATTTACTAACACTTTATCTATAACTATATTAGTAAGAGTGTTTCTATCTAATATGCTGGATAGCCATGTTGTTTGATAATCTCATGTAATTTCTACTCTCTTGTCTATTCTATCTTTAATAGACTTCGTTTCTGCTTATTTGTATTTTTTGTAATCTGCTCTCAGGCGGTAATTCACTTTTGTTTTAAGAGTATCAAACCACTCTTCCGAAAATATGCCATGCGTGGTTATGTTACACTTGTAATTGTCCTCAGTCGATGTAACATAGTCTTGATTATATTTAGCAGTTTTACTTGTCCATCTGGATTTGGCATTTTCGGTTGTGATCATTTGTCAGTTTCCATAGTAATAGTTATGTAATAGCTTAAGTAATTTATTTGTATGTCGTTCTGGTCTCGATTTTTTCTTGTTATAACATTTAATTGCTAATTCGCCGATCAATCGGAGCAGATTTATATGATAAATTTGGGGCGATCATCATATAAATAATCTCTAATGCGCAGTATTCACGTGACATATATTGCACAAAATATTATATAATTGAAAAAAAAAAGGTTTGACGAAACGATAAATTGAATCTGAAAGTTTTAATTTATTCGTTTGTAAGTCTCTTACGTTTTCTATTTAAAAACTTTTATATGGCGGAAACGGAGATTTGAGTATGTTAAAATAAAGTGAAATTCAAAATTTTATTAATTTTTATTACAGAATTATTATCTTTTCTGCCGCTTATGACTACTTTTATTATTACTATCTTCTTTTTCAAGTCTTTTATTAGTTTCACTTATTACTCTTTGCTCTGCTGATTCTTTGCGCAAGCTTGCCGAATATCTTGTTATCCATCCTTCAATTGTTTTTATTTCTGGCACCTCGTCATTTTGAATTTCACCTTCTTCTGCTAATTTTTTTAGCTCTGTAACCATATCTTTTGCAGACATTCGATCTGTTTTATTCACATTCCCTGCCAAAAAAAACCCTTCCAAATAAGCTTTTACGGTTATTGTTATACGCTTTCCACTACCCCGTTGACCATATTTCTGGTTACTCTTGAGCGCCCATCCTTTTTCTAACTGAAATTTATCACTTATATCTACAAAAATGGACGTTCCAGCGATAATTCTAAACTATATTTTGTGTGAAAAAATGTAGCGCAACGTACTGTACCTACCTAGAGAACAGGCTTGATCATTACTTTCAGTTTCCAAAGTATTTCTATTTACTTTATCTGTAAAAAAAAATCATTTATCATTTATAACCTTTGAACTAAAATATTCATCATTTATGACATACCTTTAATTCGAATTATAGGAAAACTCCATGGTAAAACTGGTTTGGTATGAGTAGAAATATCGGGAGTTGGCTTGTGCAAAGGTTCTTTGATTAACTTTGAGACATCAGTTGGAGAATAACGTAACCATTCACCTATTTGCGGTAAGGTCTGAGCTTGAATATAACCGATGAATGAACCTTCATTTGGCCATTCAAAATATGATAATTTGGTAATGCCAGATATAGTTTTAACAGGCACATGATTTCGTTTTGGTTCCAGATGAGCAACGGAAGTTCCGCCCAGATTCTTTATAGCGTCCTCTATTTTCTCACCATTATCTAAGTTATACCCAACTCTTACATATCTCTTGATGGAATGAGCTATCTAAAAAGGGAATAATTACACACAGTTATTATAATAGTTTGTGGTACGAATTCAATATTTTCATCCGTCAACAAATGAAATCATAACTTACCTGTGCGTGATGTGAATCAACACTAGATTTCGCCTCTCCAGGTTCAAAAAAGTGCCATCCACGGACATCGATGTTGTACCATTGATTCCAATTTGCAACAATGGCCATTAATTCCGAATTGTGATAATGGCCACCATTATCAGAGAAAATTTTGATCCACTTAGGTTTTGGATCTAACGTTTCGAAAACAGCATCAAAGGATGATGCCGTAAACCAAGCATCTTGTTTGGTATCGGTAGACCAGTGATCAAATGCTTGTACGTCTAGTTGCAAGGCATCACGTTTTGTAAACACCAAAATTGTATGAAGTGTCCACCCACGTTTTCCAAAGAACTGCTCCTTAGTTTCACGAGCACTTTTTGGTAAGATTCTCATTTTGTAATCACATACTAAGATTGCGCCATCATCGTCAAGCTCTGAAAGCTTTGCTTTAAATTGATTGTTTAAATAAACTTTTCTTGCTTGGTGAGCTAGAAAATAATAAATTTTATTTCGTGATTCTTCAATTGTAGGTTGAAAATCTTCTGGAAGTACCACAGTTAAATGGTCAATAAGCACGAACAGTTGATCACACATGGCACAACGAGACTTATGTTCTTGAATACATTCTCCAAACGCGTATAATAAGCAGTGGTTAATTATATCAGTATGTGATACTGTGCCATCTTCATTTACAATAAGCTCATTTTCGAAGCCTCGTCTTAGATGGTGGCGTAATTCCTCAAGTTTATTTACCAATGTATTCTTGAAATTTTTGTGATTTAAAAAAATTTAATTAGAGTATATGTTTTTTAAAAAATTATTTTTTCAATTTTTTTTATAATAAACTCATTAAACAAAAATTTTTATTCTAGTTGTTATACCCGTGATTCCTTTTTTACATGTAGTCGTACCAAATTAATTAACGTATCAAACACTTCGTAACAGTATTCATTACATATATTACATAATCCACCCAAGTCTTTTCGATAAACATAACGACCACTAGATAAGCGTGCCATAAAAGAAGTCCTCTTTATTCCATCAGGATAAGCTGCTTCGAATTTTTGCCAAAGGGTTTCTTTACTATCTTTTAGATATAGTAACGGCAGGCTGGTTTTTGGATCAACACGATAAGAACTCATTGTGACATTATCTTTATCAGAAAAAAAGCTCTCGAATTCTTTGTCTTTTATTTCAGAAATATAGTTTCGTGTTACAACCGGTTTAATTTTTGCAGGACATCCTGGACCATTTACGCGACTATATTTCTTTGCAGTACTAATTAAATCATTAGAAATCTAAAAGAAATTGCAGTAAGTTTATTTTATTTATGAAAAAAAATGAAATAACAACATTATATTCGAAATTTACCTGCAATTTTTTTTGTATTTCTCTAAATCCAAAAGTTTCTGTAATAATAGAAAGAATCCGTTGCTTTCCATCCAGTCCGCATTTATTAACTCCAATCGCTTCTTTAAAACAATTCCAGAATTTATCGATTATTACTTTCAATTGATTGTTTTTTTCTATAAACTCAGGTTCATTTTTATAAACACCATTTAATAAACCCTTGTCAAACAAGTATAGAAGTGCAGCGTGATCACTACTGGGATCAACAGCACAAGTCCAAAATTCAGGCTATAGTGAAAAGTAAATTTTTATTAGTAAAAATCCACACGATCAACTTGTTTTTAATCAAATTTGAATTTTGTAAAGATACAATTGATTAATTTGAAAAACTTACCTTAGACTCTTCCTTTTTATAGGGCGTTATATTTGTACAGCCTACGCTTTTCATCATCTTTCTCCAAGCGCGTAATTCCCGATCAGTAAATTCATAGTTTGGTGGATATAGTGGTTTAAGATGCGTCATAAATTCTATAATACTTGACTCTTGCTCTTTCCACTCAATAAAAAACTTATGCCAATTAAGATCAGCAATAGTTCTACGTTTTAGATGCTGTTCGAATGCTTGGGTTATTATTTCAATATTATCCCATTCATTCACGCTACATATTGGTAATTTTTCATAATTTTTCAAAACATTGATCGTAATGGGATGCTCGATTCCAAATAAAACATTGCCATTATAATTTTTCAGTATTCCCGTTTTCTTCCAAACTTCAGTTGGTGAAATATCAATGTAATATGCGATTCTTTCTTTCTTTTGAAATACCTCTATACAATAATTTTTACTTTCAATTTTTTGTAAAAAAAGACTTTGCTTTTCCTTGTATTTGTACATAAAACTTGATTGATACCCAACCATATTTTTTTTTTTTGAATCACCAAATTTTATAACTAAAATAGAAAGTTTGTCGACCATTATTTTGAAAGGAAAAAACAAAACATCGGATAATAGTTCTTGAATAATAGTTTCGTTATCAAACCCTAAAATGGAAGGTCCTGGATATCGTGTTTTGTTATTGAAAAGGTTGTTGTAGGTTTTATTTATAGCTTCTGAAGCAGATAGATAAACTTTTGCAGCTACGTCAGATTCACAGACATAACCTGGTTTAATACCATCTTCTGCACTAACAATACGAACAATAAATTTGGTTTTATTAAGTTCTGACTGGACTCTCATGTTTAGCCTTAGCGGTATACATATTTGTTTCTCTTCATTGGGCATTTTTTTATCAATAAAAGTCCACCAGTTTACCGCATATATGCCATAATGAAGTCTTGAAACTAGACTACCACTAGCAAGAAGTTGTATTGTTAGTTTTGTGGAAGACATAAAAAGTTAATTAGTAAAGAAACGGAGATTTGAAAAAATTTTATTTTTGCTATGTTTTATTAACCCCGCGATTTATTATTAAATTTTGATCACATGCTCCGATCGTTACACGGATCACGAATTAAAGGTTTTATGGTACCTAATGTCTTTTCTAGGGAGCTCTGTATCCGCTGCATATACTATAATACTATTGAGTTTGTCCCAATATCTATCTATATCTTCTTGGGAATACTCCTTGAAGTTGGCTCTATCCTCAAGTAAATCTTGATCAAGAGAGTTTAGTTGATTTTTTATATTAAGCCGAAAGTTATCCCACCTTTCCATTTCGATGTTGTCACAATCATACATAACTCTGGAGTGGGTATTACCTGTAGGTAATTTGTCATATACTGTGTTTTTCCTATTGTTTCGTATAAGGTCAGAGGTGTCCATAGTTAATGTGATTATATTGTGATCACTATGTGTGATAAACGTTGAGGGAGTAATTGAAAAATTCACTAATTTATTGCTATGGGTTTCTGATACCCAAATTTGGTCTATTCTCGTGCTAACACTTTCTTTGTGATAAGTGTTGCCTTGCGCTTCTTCATCAAGTTTCCTATATGAATTTATAAGGCCCAATGTTTCTAGATCATTAAAAAATTTGGGTCTGGAAATGTATTGTGGTGGAGTACGATCGATAAGGCCGTTTGTAATTAAATTAAAGTCTCCCATTAATATATGTATTATATTATTTGATTTTTTATATATAGTTTCATCGCGCATTTCTCTTTTAAGTTGTTCCAGAGTCTTGGGGAGGATTGTTTTGTTTTGTGGTGCCGCGTAAACAATCCAGATACAAAATAGGACATTTCTAAATAAAAAGTATACTGAGAGCAAATATGGTGAATGGATTTTGTGTCTTTGATAATTTTTATTCCATTTCCTTGAACATATTAACTCCACTCCTGATCCCTTATTTTTGTCGCACTGTTTACTAGACCAATAAATATAAAATTGCTCTTTAAAGTTGTCAGGAGTTTTGAAAACACCGTTCTTTTGGTTTAGATTATTTTTGTTTAAGGCCATAATGTCTACTTGATTTTCTTGCATCCAATTTAGTATTCCGTAAAGTTTTGCATTGTCACCTGCCAGTCCGTTGATGTTGTGGGTTCCAATGTGAATTGTAAGGTATAACGCGTCTAAATCCATTTGTTGTTTCTCAAATCGTATATGTTGACTAAGCAAAAAACTATCAATATTTTCTGAATTTACTTTGTTATTGTTATTGTAGTTGTTATTCTGTACTCTAATGTTCGACATGAGTGTAGAATTGTATGTTTTCATTATATCTGACTATTTAAAAAATTATGTTATCAAATAAGCAATAATAAATCTTACATAGGAAAAATTTTTATATGTTGGTTAAGCAAACTCAAAACCTACCTTTATATATATTGTTTGGGGTCCTTCCTATTCGCAATATTTTTTCAGCTGAGATTGTAGGAGGTCATGTTTTAATTACATATCAATGTTCAAAAAATGTTCTATAATATTTAGATACATAGGATATACAGATATTTGACAATACTCTTCAATTATTAGATAAAGCAAAAACTTGCTACAATTTTTTTAAAAAAGAAGAAATAATTCGTATAATTACACAAAACTAATGTAATTATTAAATATTAAATAAAAATTTGATTTCACATAAACTCAAATCTGAAATTGTATATTTTATAGTAAAATTTAAACTTATATGCCGATTTGTATAAAGCTTTTAATAAAACTACGTGTATAAAGTTATATTAAAAAATCTGAATCTAGATCTGAGTTTTATATATAATGTTCGGGATCCTGCTATACCCTTATATCTGTTACAATTTGGGACAACATCTGAAATATATATATAATCAAAAACAGAAAACAAAGAAAAAGAAAGTAAAAATAAATGTAATCAGAGGTTGTTCTGAATGTAACAGATATGGCAGATATTTCAGAAATATTTGAGAAAACATACCTTCCAGAAAAACTTTTATTTTTACCTTTTAAATCTGCCATATCTGGAATATTTAAAATTTTTTTAGAATTTAATCTAATTATTTGTTTGAGCTGATGAGATAATAAACTGAGTTAGCAGGTAAGTTTTACATTCCTAATTAGTGAGTAGATTACCTTTTTGTATGTACAAGTAAGATCTTTAGGCTGAGTAAAAGTAAGTGAATGAAAAAAGTAAGTGAATGAGCAATCATAAGAAGTACATGAGTAAATGACTGAAGTGAATAAGCAGGAGTAATTAAAGCTCTACATGAGCCAGCTTGAGCCGAGCCAAGGGCTAGCTCAGCTTGGCTTAGCTTGGTTTGTTCCAAAAGCTCACAAACTGGCTCATTTTCAAAATCATATAAAATTTATTATAACTAAAATTTCAAAATGTGATAACTTCGCCAATATTGCTCCAAATTTAATGATTTTACTACCATTAGATTCGTCTCATCAAGAGGAATCGAATGGTAGTAAATTTATTAAATTTGGAGTAATATTGGTGAAGTTATCACGTTTTGAAACTTTAGTTTTAATTTTTAATAAATAGAGTTAGGCTAACATCAAGCCTAAGGTTGCTTGTCTAAACCTCTTCAAAATCTTACGATTAGTTTCGTCAAAATTTTACTATAGATTTATTATAGTTTCGGCAGAATTTTGGCAGTTTCGGCATTTATAATAAGTTTCGGCAGTTTCGCCTTTCTCCAAAGTTTCACCAGTTTTTTAATATAACTTTAATATAGTTTTGGCAGAATTTCGCTTTTTGGCGAAACGCCATCTTGCCTAAACCCCTAGGTTTCGGCAAGCAACCTTAATCAAGCCAAACTATAACTGCAACTTGGTTTGGCTTGGCTTAGCTCAGCTTAAAAGCTCACAAGCTGGCTCGGCTCATGTAGAGCACTAGGAGTAATCCACATTTCTAATATACTCTCAAATATACTAGCTTTAACATACACTAATCAAAATCAAAAATCAGATATATACAGGTCAAAAAGACATCATTGTAACTTAATTACACATTATAATTGAAGAATTAGATAAATTATAAAATATTATAAAATTTAGAATCATAATAAATTGATAAATTTACTAAATTATTATTAAATTGTCATTTGATTATTTAAAAATTGGTCCAATTATCTAAAATTATTAAAACCATTGTCATTAAATTGTTGCTCAATTATTATAAAAATGCTACATTTAGGGGTGTGCCAGAAATCAGCTGATTTTTCAATTAGTAGCCACCCCTACCTGATTGAAATCTGATTGGCTAAAAAAATTATTACTATTAAATATTAAATATTATATATAATAATTAGTATTATATAATTATCTTGGCTTCTAGTGATTCAATTTAAACAAACTTTTTTTGTTTTTTTGTTTTATAAAACTAGATTTATAGAACTAAATGAGTGCTATAAATTAAAAAAAAAGTTTATTAAAATTGGATCACTAGAAGTCAAGATAATTGCATTATAATAACTATATAAAAATAATTAAATTATTTACATTTACTGTATATTTAGATATATAAATGTCACATGATATATATAGACCTGATCTGAAGCTGACTCCTCCACCCTTTCAAATTAGCTGATTTCTGGCGCATTCCTTAGTAAAAATTATAAAAAACTAGAAAATGGCATTTTATTTCTTAGATATTTTATTTCTTCAAAATATATTTGCTATTATTTTTTCAAATATTTTAAAGACTAGATTAGAATTAAATGATAAAATTTATTATAGAATAAATTTTTATTTGCAATAATAACTATTATTATTAGAAATGATAAATATTATTTACTTATTAATTATTACTTAATACTATTATTAATTTGCTATTTAATACTATAATAGAATCCTGAACAATACTGATACAACTTACATTTGATAGGCTAACAGTCATATTTTATTTATTATTTATGTGTACTCAAAACATATAGAAGATAACAAACATAAGAAATAACAAAAATGAAATAGTCGCACAAAAAAGTACATATAGAAAAGAAAACTAAACTATGAGTTCCTAATTCGTATACCTCAACTTTAAATCTTCAAGAAGCAAAATTTCAGGTCAACTACCCAGTTCCAAAAAATATCTCAACCCTATTCCTATGACTAAGGTTGCTAGAGAAACTAGGGGGTTTTGGCAAGTTGGTGAAATGCCGAAATAGCGAAATATTGCTGAAACTATATGAAAGTCTTATTAAAAAATTAGCAAAACTCTAGAGAAAAGCGAAACCCGATGAAACTTATTATAAATGCCGAAACTGCCGAAACCTTACCAAAACTATAATAAAACTATAGTAAAATCTTGGATAAAGCTCTAATCAGGTCGGTCCTAATCCGACAACCCAGACCGAAAATTCAGATTGGTACGGTCTGGGTTGATGCTTCAACCCGGACCAAAATATTTGGTCCGGTCCAGTCCGGTTTCAGATTATAAATCTAACCCGGACTGAAAAAACGGGTTGGAACCGGACCGGACTGATAAATATTTTCGCAATGGTTTATATTAAAACCGTTGCGATTATTTAATTATTAAATAAAAAAACATTGCGTAATGTTTTTTTTAACATATTATTATAAAAAAAATNAATGATAATTAATAATGGTATTAGTTGTTAATATAGAGTTACTAATATGGCTTCATATTAGAAAACGTTTAATAATTAATAAATTGACCTTTTAAAATTAAAATTATTAAAAACAAAATAATGAAGTTATGATAACACTAAGGGAAATTATCGAAGTTTGAAATTTTGAATAAATTAAAATGATAATATCTAAAACCAAGCACGGATACATATATATTTATAAATGTTAAGATTTCGTCTATCGGTACGTGGCAGGTGCCGGTGACAACGTAAGAAAAGTCACGAGAATATTGCACTTAAAGAGAAATAAGCCAGAGGATAAGGTAAGGGTCTGTCTCTTATACACATCTAGATGTGTATAAGAGACAGATGTTTTTCTAATTAATTTAAAGAAAAAACGTTGCGAAACGTTTTTTCTTAGTATATTTAATTAGAAAAAACGTTGCAAAACGTTTTTTCTTAGTATATTTAATTAGAAAAAATGTTTGCGCAACGTTTTTCTAATTAATTAAAAGAAAAAACGTTGTGAAACATTTTTCTAATTAATTAAAAGAAAAAACGTTGCGAAACGTTTTTTCTAAGTATATTTAATTAGAAAAAACGTTTGCGCAACGTTTTTTTATTATAGGACCGGACCGGACTGGACCAAAATAACTGGTCCAGTCCGGTCTGGTCCTGAATTCTCCTTTTAATATAAACCAGACCGGACCGAAATGAACTAATTTTTCGGTCCGGTCCTGGGTTACTCTCCAACCTGGACCAACCCGGACCATTTAGAGCTTTAATCTTGGAGAAACTAATCGTAAAATTTTGGAGAGGTTTAGACAGGCAACCTTACCTAGAACTAAAACCACAATTCAGACGAGAACTGTTCAACTACTTTAATAATTCTAGCGGATAACAAAACTCTGAACTGGCTGGGATTACAAGATTGTAGATAGGAAAGAAGCACATCGGCTAAAGAAGAGTAACGCATTTTAGCTATAAGAAATTGTTGAAAAAGGAAATTATAAATACATAAAAGAAAATAATGCAGAAATTCCAATAATCTGTAAACGAACAGCAAAAATTTCAAATAAACACGCAAAGCGAGTAATTTGATCATAAATGAAAGGTTGAAGACAAAAAACTCTATTGTAGAATTTAAAGTTCGCTGTCAATAAAAGTGGAATAACCAAAAATACTTCAAGACCTGAAAAATGTGCAAAAATCTTCCAAAACATCTGACGTCCATGAACAACCCTTAAGTCAAGGAAGGAGGCAGAGGCAGAAAGAAAGGGATAGACAATGGTACATATATAAACTGGAATAAAGGAAAAATAAACTGTACAGAAGAATAATTCTATCCATTCAGTCTCATGATAAGTAAACGTTTCTTCATCAAAAGAAAGAAAAAGAGATTCATCATCCAAATCAACCAATTCATCATCAGAGTTGGAAAGAAAAGTTAAAGTTGTGTTATACATAACATTCAAAGGACAAGAAGAAATAGGAAAACCTGTAAATCCATCGATATCATAATAATAATCATCCGGTGAAGGAAGAACTTGATTACGAGAAAACATATCCAATGTTAAACGAGTTCCATTATCAGAGCTCAGATCAGAAGAGGAATAGGAAAGATCATCATAATCAGGGAAACTAAGATCGGCAGGAAGGGAACTCTCAAACAGTTCATCAATAGGAGAATCTACAGATAGGCTAATTTGTGAAACTGGATAATCAATTGTCGATCTTTCACAGAGAGCAAACTGAATATCCATTTTTTCAGCATAAACCTCAGAAATAAAATTCTGAGTAGGTAACGATAAAGTATTTCAAAAAGGAGTGTTAATAATAGGCTCATAACGAGCTTTATGAAATAAAAGATATTTTCTGACGTTGTAACCCTAGATATCGAAATAATCACGTGAACAGAGGAATAATTATCCGAAGGCTGAATGAAATACCGAATGGAATATGGATAAACATTTAACTGATGAAAGAATATTTAACTGAAATAATTAGAAATACATTATTATAGTTGTACAATAGTTAGTTATTTATAATAATATTTATTTATAATTCAGTTATTTATAATTATTTATATTATTAGATTAGTTATTAGTAGTCTAGCATAAATAGATTATTATTTCGTTGGGAGGACTTTGATAGTTTAATTGATGGAATGAGAAAATTATGGATCATATAAATTATGATGGAATGGGAAAATTATAAATGATAAATTAAAAGGGAATCAGACAAATCAATTGTTGGGGAAATAATTCATGGATACAGATTTATAATGAAAATGTTAAGTTGGTGAATGTATAATGGAATAACAAGTAAATTGTTGGGGAATGTTAAGTTTTAGATAGATGATCAAGAGATAAGAAAAGATATTCAAGATAAGAAAAGTTATTTAAGATCGAGATTTTGGACTTAAGTGAAAAAAAGGAGTTTCGACTTGAAATTGAAAATAATATTGGGAACTTAGGAAAATATAATGATAATTAATAATGGTATTAGTTGTTAATATAGAGTTACTAATATGGCTTCATATTAGAAAACGTTTAATAATTAATAAATTGACCTTTTAAAATTAAAATTATTAAAAACAAAATAATGAAGTTATGATAACACTAAGGGAAATTATCGAAGTTTGAAATTTTGAATAAATTAAAATGATAATATCTAAAACCAAGCACGGATACATATATATTTATAAATGTTAAGATTTCGTCTATCGGTACGTGGCAGGTGCCGGTGACAACGTAAGAAAAGTCACGAGAATATTGCACTTAAAGAGAAATAAGCCAGAGGATAAGGTAAGGGTCGTTCTCATCATCGTTAGAATTTTCTTCGTGTAAACCTTTGTCGAGACGCATAATCACTCAATATTACCAAACTATAAAGTAATAAACAAAAGTATATAATAAAGGAAAGTTGTCTCAGGTAACCGCCAAGAAACTCTATTTATTTTGAAAATTAGTTATTATTAAACCCCTAAAGGGAGAAACGGAAAAAAAGTTATAAAGATCTTCACAACTTACATTTGAGGATATATTATTATACTCTGGAAAGAATAGTCATCCTAAGAAGGATCCCATCACACATGTCACAACACCCCATCAGTGGTCAGCACCATATAGGATACTGACATCGGCAGGGGCTGTATAGCATGTCCTAAAACCATCTTGGGCCAAGACCCAACCTTATGTGACCTTTCCTACTAACCATTCACCCACTGTAAGGTAGCCTCTAGCCAGTATATTTATTCACGAGTTTCCCAGCTAATGGTATAGTGGTGGCTTTTGTGATATCGAATAACCATCTAGAACTCTTCTATATATACCACCATCTTAGGTACTAGGTCTCACTCAAAGGCTACTACAGCCTGTGATTACCTATCACTGATGGTACAGTTGTGAACTTCTAGTAGTAGTTGTGAAGGTTCTTCAACAACAACTTACATTTGAGTTTGTGTAGAGTTTATATTAAAATTTTTCAAAAGTTGCATATTATAGGGGTATTTTCAAAATTTCATTATCCTATATACCCCTATTTTTAATATAACTAGTGATTCGATTCTAATAAAATTTAAATCATTGGATTTATTTTGATGAGAGAATTCTAATGATAGTAAAATTGCATTTTTAACTTCAATATTGATAGAGCTATATTATAAAATGTATTTTTATTTTGATATTTAAAGTTTACTTGTGAGTTATATTAGTATTATTTTATATAGGCCTATTTGTCTACCTTTAATTAAAATATTAATTTTATTACATTTTTATTATACAAAATACTATATAATATACAGTAAATTGGAAATGAATATTAAAAAATTTTTATTTAATGTTATTATACTATAATTTGGTAAATATTTCTTTTAAATTAATGTAATTCTTAGCACTTACTATATATATTAAAAATTTGTATCTCAACTTAAAATGTAAATATTTCCAGATCCAGTGATCCAATTGGCAAGCTTTTTTTTCGTTCATATAGACCAGATCAAAGGCTTTCCAAAGAGCCTAAATTTATAAAAAATGGATCAGTGAATCCCAAGATATTTGCATTTAAGTATGTTAAAAAGTTTGTACTTCAACTTTAAATGTAAATATCTCCGGATCTAATGATTCAATCAGCAAGCTCTTTTTTTGCCTATAAAGTCCAGAACAAGGGCTTTGCAACGAGCCTAAAATTATAGAAAACGGGATCAGTAAATCTTGATATATTTGCANGCCTATAAAGTCCAGAACAAGGGCTTTGCAACGAGCCTAAAATTATAGAAAACGGGATCAGTAAATCTTGATATATTTGCATTTAAAGATGGTAATACAAACTCTGACATAAAATAATTATTTTTATTGTTTGAAAATATCTATTATGATACCATCTTTTATATGATATTTTTATTATACTTTTATAAACATTTATAGCTACTAAGGCTATATAAATTTTTATTTTACTTTATATTTTATTAAAATATACTTACTTTTTAATAATATATGTTAAAAATTCCATATATATGAGAAATGGGTTTTTTATTAGTAAAATGGGTTTTTTTACAGCTCTTTTACATTTAATAATTTAAGTTTCGCAAATGTAAATTTTTGTTCAACTTATTATTTAGTCAAGTGATTATCAATCAGATGATTTTTTGGTATTACAAAACAATTTTGAGTAACAAAAATTGTGAAAATTAATCAAAACTCTTTTTAATGCAGAGTAAACAAATCAGCCCATATGTAGGATTTTACTATAATTATATATAATATTCCTTACTTTTATAAGTTTATAATCTATTATATTACTAATTTACAATTATTATTCTTTATTGATAAATTTCTTTGATATTAAAATCTATTATCTTTCTTCTAATTTCTTTTTTAATTCACCTCTATTAATTTTTTTATCATTACTTATTGTTATTGCTATTTTCATTATTATTATCCAGTTTATTATTCAGATTATATATTATCTATAAATTCATCTAATATACTTAAATTTTGAATGTACTGTATTTTGTGAGTCACAGTTCGTCTATGCACAGTACCTTACAAAAAAGAACTCCCATTTTCTACTGATTTTATTATTTAAAATAATTTAATAAATACTTAGATATTATGCCGGTATGATAAATACCCAATTATTATATAAGTTTAATACATATCTACTAATAATAAAAACTCACACAATGGTGGGGTATAAGGTCAAAACCTTTGAAATCTGTATCATACCTGGGGTACTGTGGTTCCCATTATACAGTAATACATTTAAAGTAGTTTTAATTAATACTATTACTTGATTATTTGAAATAGCACAACTTATCAGTTGTATTTTACTCTTATGATTTTTCAATGATTTCATCATCATCAAATTCTACTAATATATCATTAACAATAGCATTTATTTCATTATTATTTAATTTCACTAATCCCCTTTTCATACTTTTTTATATGATCATTAATAAGATAATTTTATTATTAACTTTTAAATGTTTAACTTCAAGCCAAAGCTGCCTTTATTTATTATACATGAAAAAATTCTTGTTTACAAGTCACTGAATTTGGATAAATAGAAAATAGGCACAATATAAGATTTTGAAGATAAGTTATATTTATTTACCAAGAGATTAGATCATCAAATCCGTTATTATAAGGTTGGTTGAAAGATTTTTGCTTTAAGTTCTATTATTTTCATCAACTGATCAAAAACCAGGATGTAAAAAAATGTTAACAAATAATTATAATCATTGAATTCTTCAATTCTAATAAATCATTCGTACTTGTAAACTTTGCGTTTAAGACTGTAATTATATTAATCTGGAATGTGATCTTTGAAAATGAATTTAATAATTCTAGTTTTAATGATGAAAGAATAAAGAATAAATGAATGTATTGATATCATTATTATTGGGTTTAGCAAACACTATTGAATTTTATTTTTACTATAGAAACTTAAAATTCCTGGAATTATTACTTATATATGATGAATTTATTTAGTAAATAAGAATTATAAAATACAATAATAATAAACGAAATTTAAATAAAAAAAAAATGGATTCTTTAAGAATCATACAATTGCTTAGCGTCTTCATCGGTATAACCTAATAGATATAAAACATACTTTAAGCTCTTTTGATTAATTCTTGCTCGTGCCTAAATGCATTCAGGAGAGAAAGATAAGTAAATTAATACAATTAATACAGCAATTCTTTGAAGATATTTTCTTCGAAATGTTCAAGTAATTACCTTTTCTTGTACTCTTGGTTTAGCATTAAAAGCAATCCCCAAACCAGCTTTAGCCAACATTAATAGATCATTAGCACCATCACCTACAGCAATAACTTGATCCAGTGTAACGTTTTCAGCCTGAGCGATAACCTCAAGTAATTCAGCTTTACGTTCAGCATCAACTATAGGTCCAACAGTTTCACCGGTAAGTGTTAATCCGTCTGATGAAACTTTGAGCTTAATTAAAAATGGTGTTAATACGTGATCGAAAATTTATATTTTTTTTTTTAAAAAAAAAATTTTTACGCGTAATAATAAATTCAACTCACTTGATTTGCGAAAGCGTAATCTAATCCAAGTTCATTTTTAACATACTTTGCTAAAGGAATAAAACCACCTAGAAGAAAAATTTGAAAAATATCCTAAGTTTTGGATTGAAATAACTACGTCAAAGAAAATTTAATGCTTACCTGAGATTACGGCCAGTTTAAAACCAATTTTCTTCAGCGCTTTGCAGAGGAAATGAGCACCATCAGTGAAAGTTAAATTCTCTTTAATAGTTTGTAATACTTCTACAGGAGTTCCTTTAAGAAGAGAAACACGACGTCTAAGAGATTCTTTAAAATCTATTTCACCATTCATAGCCAATTCGGTTATGCTAGCAACTTCTTTAACAACACCAGCATGTCTAGCAATTTCATCAATAACTTCTTGTTGAATAAGAGTAGAATCCATATCAAATACTACTAATCTTTTATGTTCTCTGAAAACATCATAAGGTTGTAAAGCAACATCAGTACCATGAGAAGTACTGAGAGTGAATAATTCTTGTCTTAATCGTTCAAAATCTGTATTGTTTGGTACTGATAATTTATAATCAGCACAAGATAATTTTCCTTCGTTCAATCTTTGCATTTTTTCTACAGAAATTTTTCCTTTTAATAAAAATTTTGTCCAATCATTTAAAAATTGTGGAGATAAGCCCTTTTGATTTAATACAGTAGCGGCATATTTTATACGATTTTCATAAGGAGCATCTTCAATTGGTAAAATTCGATCACCATCATGAACATCAAATGTTAAAGTACCATCCCATTTTCTAGACGCTTCAGCTAAATCTTTAAATAAATCTATATCATCAGATCTTAATGCAATTAATACACCAAAAGTAACATCATGATATAATCTGGATAACATAAAATCTTCAATTACACAATCATGTTTAGCCATACATTCCAAAACACATCCTATAATATCAGTACCATGTGGACCAGTAATTGAAGCGATAACTTTTTGATGAGGTAATAAATCTAATGGTGGAAACAAATTTTTTTTTGTAGTTGTTGGTGAAGTGGTAGATTGAGGAATTTTTGATAAAAGTGCAGGTAAAGTTGTCATCCCTAATGAAGAAGAAGATGATTTTGACGAAGAAATTGTCGTAGAATTATTTTCTAATTTGGTTTCATTATTAATAATCGTTGATGTCGTTGATGCGATTGGAGAAAACTCTTGTACAACTTTTTTCATTAAAGATTTTTTTAAAATTAAGAGTGAGTCTGATTTTGTTAGAGTAAGTGAAGCAATTCTATAAAGGTAAGCTTCACCAATGTTTAATCCTGAATGTTTATCATTCTTTTTTAATATCTTTACTAAACCCGTATAATTTAAAAAAACAAATCTTTCTAATATAATAATAGATTCTAACATTTTACTTGCTTCATTTTCATCAAGAGTATCTACATTCTGTTCTTCACTTTTCTTTATTAGTGAATTGGATTCTTTAACGAAAAAATCCGAAACTTTTTGTATTTCATTATCCAATTTTACTAAAAATTCCGTAACTTTAATTTGTAAAGCTGATAATCTCGAAGAAACCAATTCAATAAAATGTAATTCGTTCGAATTAGTTGGTTTCCATGTCATTTGACTTAAATTTAATTTTAATGAATTTGGTATTATGTTGGTTTTAATATATGATTTTAATGAATCATAATCTATAGAATGTTCCCTCCATTCTACAGGAAATTTTTCTTTGCGTTCTCGCAAATATTTTCCAAATTTCATTTTTGAGTGAAGAAGTGATGATGAAAAAAAGGAAAAATGGATTTAAATTATTTTTGTAGATCGTTTTTCGGTTAAAAAATTTTTCAACAAATCATATGAAACAAGCTTGATTATCATAATTTCATTGGTTAAAAATACGTAATACGTTTCGCAAATTATCAGTTATTTGGAAAATAACCGATATTTGTGTGCCAGTATGGGTTAATCTTTGGCCAACTTTCCTTGATAGACAGGTCATTGTATGATTGATAAAAATCTAATCTATAAAGAGTCATCATTTGTCTTCATCAACGTGTCGGAATGTGTACGCGTGCACATTGTGCATGATATAATTATAGGCTACAAATAAATTTTTAAGTATATGTATAGTAAAAATTGTTATATCTTAACAAATTTTTTTGTTTTTTGTTTCTGTTGACAGGTGCTTTAATATTATACCCTATAAAATTAAGAAATGCATTTATGCTAAATATACAGTGAATTTGTCTTCCGACAAAACTTTATTTTTTTTCATGATTTATAATTTATGTGTGACTTTACGTAGTATAAATTATGTGTATTTTAAATAGATAATCCGCAAAAAGTCTATGCTGCTATGTGTTTCTTAATTAAATTTGAGGCCGAAAGTGTGCGGAATGATGCTTGACGGAACTAGGCGATTTTTTTTGTAAATCCTGCTTTAGATGGTTCGGTTGTTTTAACAGCATTCAATTCCTTTCATATCCTCTCGATGTTTTCTTTTTAATACAAGCTAAAAACAACACAAAAATATTTGATTTAAAAATATTCTATTTTTATTATAAAAAATTGTACAATATTGTACATAAATATATGAATACAATCCGGAGGACTATACTAATCATTAGTCAGTAAGGAAAGAAATTAGGAAAATAAATAAATTTTTTTTTTGCTCCTAATAACCTTACGCCGCAGATTTGTGATCCAATGGTTAACTTTTAAGTATTACGCATTAGACAATCGATAAGGTTGGATTGACATGCAGAATTTATTCACGATCACATGATATTACAAACGCCTTCGAAAACATTATCTGACCCTTGTGGAATAATAAATCCTGTACATTATTACATTATTCGCTCGATATTTTACCCCATCCAATAGTTATATTATAATCATTTTTCCTTTAATATTTTTAAAAACATTTAAAATTTTTAAAAGTGTATAAATAAATGTTATGTATTAAAAAAATAAGGGACAATGAATTAATCATTAATATTATTTTACTAATGTTTTTTAGCTTAAAACAAAAAAAAATATTTCTTATTGTGCTACTACAGTAACACACACACATTAAGGGGTAAGTATACGTTTCATTTCATTAAGATATGGAGTCCTCCTTGTTTTCCTTCTCTGTCATTTGTAAAGTTTATTATTAATAACCGTAATTGTATCCAAATAAAGAAATTTTATCAAAAAATTATATAATAAGTTGTTACTTTTGGCAGATGATTAACAAATTAGCAAAAATAATTCCGAAGGTTTCCATTCAGGCAAGTCACAGCTTTGCCTAATTCTAAATTGGGTAATTATGCAACAAAATAAAAATCACCCCATTTACATGTGGCTCACTTTAGTATTTTTCTTTTTTTTTCAACAATTTTGACCATAATTTTTTCAAATATTAAATTTATAGTTGAATAAAATGGACGAAGCATTTCAAAGAATGTTCCTTCAAATGATGTTTAATCAACAACCTCCTAGAAGAAGCAGGCAAGAGATAATTTCTAAACACAAAAAAGCTTTAAAAGATGTGATTGAAACAAGAAACAATAGTTTTACCTTTCAAACAACTCAAGGTGGACCCGCTATCAGAGGAGGGACTAGACATTCTAAAAATATCCCACTTAAACCAAGGAATCGAATCTCGATTAATGACATGCAAATTGATAATGTACATACTGGTCGTTTCTTATTGTGTCGCGTAATTGAAAAATGTTACAAACTTACAGCCCTTTCAACTATTGTTGAAGATCCTGAAGGTGATGTTGAACGTCTTTCTTTGTATAACTGGGTCCCACAATCTGCAGGACTTATTTCTGTTGATCAAGCTTCCAGATATTTGACGGTTGGAACTATTTTAATTGTGAAGAATCCTTTTTATAAAACCGCTGCGGATATTTTACCCATGATTCGGTCAGACGATCCTTCAGAAATTATAATGGTTAATCATAATAGTGAGTTGCTTAAAGATATCAGATGGACCACTGATCAAATACAAGAATTACTAGTTGAACCAGAAGAACAAAAAATATTTAAATCTGAGGATTTTCAACGTCGTGGAAATGAAAATTTCAAGGAAAGAAATTATAAGCTTGCAATTGATGAGTATTCACGTGGAATCGATTTGGAACCTAATAATGTTATCTTGCTCACAAATAGAGCTCAATCATATTTAAGATTGTGCCTATTTGCAAAGGCTCTCGATGATTCAGTGCTTGCCTTAGAACATAATTCGGATCATCAAAAAGCAAAATTTTGTAAGGGCAAAGCGCTTTGTGGTCTTAAAAGATATCAAGAAGCGATTTTAATTTTCCAAGAATTGTTGAAAACAGACGATGCCCTAAATAAAAATTCATTCGAGGAAGCTATAAAACGTGCTCGAATGTTGGAGTTAGAGAGTAAGGGTATTTATGATTACATCAGCATCATTGAAGAGTTTAAGAAAAATGTCCAAGTACAAAGTGACGGAAAGTGGATTTGCCCAAATGGACCGAGATTAGACCACGCGGATTATATTTCAGACAAAATTGAAGTTCGTCCGATTAAAAATAAAGGCAGAGGATGGGTTGCGAAACAAGATATTCCGTCTCATTCTCTATTAATGGTCAGCAAAGCATTTCACGTCGTGTATGAAAATGAGGTTCCACCAGGACTTAGTTTTAATTGGGTTAATAGAAGTATTAATACACCGGCCCAATCAGAGTTAATCACATTTATAACTCAAAAAATTACGGCAGATCCAAATCTTGGACGAGAACTTTATAAACTTTACGCTGGTTCCAATTATCGATCTGAAAATGAACTTGAAGATCAAGAAGCCCTATCCGTGAATGTAGATAGGATTGAAAATATAGTAAAATATAATGCTTTTAATCCTGATGATTTGTGGAGTTTATCGAAAAAGCCAGAAAGTAGTAAAGGGGCTGGCCTTTGGATTTTACCATCATATTTTAATCACACGTGCCTCGACTTTAATACTGATAGAATTTTTTGGGGAGATTTAATGTTCGTTCGAACTATCTGTCCGATTAAAAAAGGTGAGGAATTAACATTTAGCTACGTTGACCCGATGTTAGCCGGTGAAGAAAGATTGAGGTCACTTAAATCATTCGGCATCACTTGCCAATGCCGCCTTTGTAAGATTGATCGAGCCGAATCACCACAAATCACTCAGAAATGGAAACAACTTGATGAGAAATTCAATCAAACTATAAAACCCAGAGCATCAAAAATGTTGAAAGGTTCCAGAGCTGATCCTTCCCTCATTCATGAATTGGAAAAATTAGTTTCCGATCTTAACGAACTTCGATACAATAACCCATCCCTTAATTTTCATTTTTTCGATCCAAAATCAGTACTTGCTTTTGCCTATGGGAAAAACGGTGACTCACGCAAGTCCCTTAACATTATGCATGAATTGTATGACCTTGTAAGACCATATAATTTGTTGCATTATTCAAATAAATGTGCTTTTCAGATGGCACATCGACACGCTGAATTGGGGCAAACTAAAAAAGCACAAAAGTGGTATAATAGCGCATTGAGACAGTTAGTTGAGCCGGTTAGGGGTAAATATAAGGAGGATGAAACTAATTGGAAAGAAGAGGCATTGCGTATTGCTAAAATATTGGAACCTGAACTTATTATATTAATTTAGTATTTTATCTAAAAGTAATATGTACGTTAAATCATATCAGAATAGTTAGTTTGTATCTTCTCAGCATAGCTTTTCTTTTCTTCAAGCAAACTTAAAATAAAATTTTACATATTTATCAGTGTTATTTACTGTTGATTATGTTCCTAACTAAATAACGAGAAACTGGGAATTTAATAGCGTATATATTTATATCTTCACTCTGATCGGTGTAACTTTTTCGAAGTATTTTACTCAGCCGCTTTATCGTTATGAATAGGTATAGTAGTAATATCCAAGATTATCATTGTCCTTTTTTTTTCAAGAACTATCATATTGATTCATTGATTTAGTCTATTTCAACACATTAAATTCACCAATCCCAATCACTTATGCTGACATACGCCTCGCTTTACAAATATATTCTAATGGTGGTGTATTTGTAAGTTAATATCGATATTACTTATTCAAGCACCAAGATAACTTGAAATATTATTATTTTTTTTTTTTTATAAGTTGGTACAATTGTTATTAGTCAAATCCAGAAAAAATCGAGATGTAAGTTATATTGACGATGCGAAAGCATGGAGCGGTTCGTTCGGTTCGGAAAAAATTAAATAAAGGAAAATAATTAAAGTTTCAAATCTTTGGGCAAAATCAAATTCACATTATGAGAAGGCCTCATATAAATGTTTAGCTAACATACTTAAAATTTAGATTCACATTTTTTTTTCACTCAAAATTTATAATTTTGCACATAATGTATGATATAACGACAATAACCTAAATGACTAAATATATTTTGGCTTAAAGTAACATTTTTTTATTAAATACTTTATTTTTTGTATCACTCGACAGCTCGCCAATAAACTCCTAATATTATCATTTTTTAATATGAATTGATTTTTATCAATTATCTTTTACGTAATTGTTGCGGGTAATTTCATATTAAAAAATTTATTGTCCAATTATCTAGATAACTTTATCTGCACAATATTCGGATATTTAATTTGAGTAATAACGAAATTGAATTCAGCTCAACAAATGTATATTCTGCATCTATAATTTTCGTTAGATAATCCGTTAACACATTAAATACGTAAATTTGATTTTGTTTATCGACTACTTAGTAGAAATATGGGATTATTGGCTCTGTACTATATATATGGAAGGGGTTTTATTTTAAATTTGGATAATTTGGATTTAATAGGAACGTTAAATTAAACAATTAAGTTGATTAAAATTTTGCTTCAATCAATCAATTTTTGGTCTGCTGTTACGCAAAAAAGGGACAAATTATGTCAGATGCTTGGGTAACATTTTAACCTTCTTATACATACTGCGCTGAATTCCATCTCCAATAATATTTTTGAATTTGAAAGAACTATTAGAACTATTATGACAAGAACATGCAATGTAGTATCTATTGCATATAATAAGAAGATAAGTAAACATAAATTCTCGTTTATTAGTATCAATTACTAAGAATTGGTTATGTTGTAACATATTTTAAAGAATAAATATAATATATTATAATTAATTCTTTTTGCATCTAAAAGTTAGTTTATAATTATATTAAATTGATTAGAAGTTCTCTATGAATCACTGTCGCAGCACCTCACACAATTTCGTTTCTTATTTTATACCGATTCGCAAACAAAGAAAAAATTTTTATCATCTGAATTCTGAATTTAAAATTTACTAATTATAAACCGTACAATAAAAATGTGTGACAAAAAATCAATTTCTTGGTTTTAAATCGTCGATTATTACTCGTGAAATGTTTACATGAGTACATGAGGTAACAAACAATTCGGCCGATCAAATATGGGTTTTTACGCCTTCTAAATGTTCGTACATAGAAATAACGAATAAGAAATAAATATAAAATGATCTGCTGGCAGTACTATTGTTACCTAATATTTTTCTTTTTTTCTATTAATAAGACTAAGAAAACTCTTCAAAACTTTATCAAAAAAAAAAAACTCATTAAAATATGTCAAATTCTAAAACAAAAATTATTAAAAATGATGAAAATTTTTTAAAGGATTTTTCAAAAGATTTTTATCTAAGATTAATTGATATAGAAGATTTAAATACTTATGAAGTTACTTTGATCGAATTTATAAATAATATCGATGAAAATGTAAAAAAAATTTTGGAATTAATGCAAAATCATAAAGAAAATGAATTTTGGTTTTCTAGTATTATTGGATTTTTTTATCAATGTGGTATAGGTTGTATTATTGATAAAAATAAGGCGTTAGAATTTTATTTATTATCTGTTAATAATAAGTTTGAAAAAGAATTTATAAATCAAAATTTTATAAATATATTAAAAGAAAATAATAATGAATTTGATATTTTGAAAGATATTAACGTTAATATTGGAAAATATTTATTATCATTATTCTATTACAAAGATATTATTTTAAATAAAATTGACACAATCAACTTGAGTGAATTTATTGTTGAATATTTAAGATCTGCTAAAAAAGGGGATCTAATAGCTCAATATAATTTAGGAAATTGTTATCAATATGGTCATGGAGTAGCGCAAGATTATAAGAAAGCATTTAAATGGTATTCTTATTCAGCTAATAATGGACATGCTAAAAGTCAAAATAAATTAGGAGAACTCTATTATCATGGAAGAGGAATATACCAAGATTTTAAGAAAGCGTTTGAATGGTATTCTAAATCAGCTAATAACGGATGTGCTGAAGGTCAGTATAACTTTTTTATGTTAATTTGATTCTAAAAATTATGATAAATTATATTTTAAATTAGCTAATAATGGGTATAACTTTAGGTCAAAATAATTTAGGAAAGTGCTATTGTCATGGAACAGGAATAAAGCAAGATTATAAGAAAGCATTTAAATGGTATTCTAAATCAGCTAACAATGGATTTGTTGAAGGTCAAACTAATTTGGGAAAGTGTTATTACCATGGAAGGGGAATAAAAAAAGATTATAAGAAAGCATTCAAATGGTATTCTAAATCAGCTAATAAAGGATGTGCTAAAGGTCAATATAATTTGGGTCTTTGTTATGAGAACGGAATTGGAACTGATAAAGATAAAAAGAAGGCATTTGAGTGGTATTTAAAATCAGCTAATAATGGGTATGCTTTGTGTCAAAATAATTTAGGGAATTGTTACTATTATGGGAAAGGGGTAGCACAAGATTATAAGGAAGCATTTAAATGGTATTTAAAATCAGCTAATAATGAAAGTGCTAGAGGCCAAAATAATTTGGGAGATTGCTATTATCATGGAAGAGGAATAGCACAAGATTATAAAGAAGCATTTGAATGGTATTTAAAATCTGCAACATCAGGAAATATAATAGCTAAAAATAATTTAGGAAATTGTTATCAATACGGTCGAGGAGTAGCTCAAGATTATAATAAAGCATTTAAATGTTATTTTGAATCAGCTAATAATGGAGATGTAGAAGGCCAAAATAATTTAGGGGATTGTTATTATTATGGAAGAGGAGTAATACGCGATTATAATAAAGCATTTGAATGGTATTTAAAATCTGCAACATCAGGAAACATAGTGGCAAAAGGTAATTTAGGAAATTGTTATCAATACGGTCAGGGAACAGCTCAAGATTATAAAAAAGCATTTGAATATTATTTTGAATCAGCTAATAATGGGTATGCCAAAGCTCAATACAATTTAGGTTTTTGTTATGAGAAGGGAATTGGAACAGTTAAAGATAAGAGGAGAGCATTCGAATGGTATAATAAATCAGCTAATAATGGAAGTTCTTTAGGTCAAAATTATTTAGGAAATTGTTACTATTATGGAAGAGGGATAACTCAAGATTATAATAAGGCGTTTGAATGGTACTCTAAATCAGCTAATAATGGATGTGCAGGGGGACAAAACAATTTAGGTAATTGTTATCAGAATGAAATTGGAACATGTAAAGATTATAAGAAAGCTTTTGAATGGTATTCTATATCAGCTAAAAATGGAAGTCCTAAAGGTCAATATAATTTAGGTTTTTGTTACGAGAATGGACTTGGAACATGCAAAGATAAAAAGAAAGCACTTAAATGGTATTTGAAATCTGGAACTAGAAATGGTACAATTGAAAAAAAATAGCATGGGACAATCGAGACATATTACGATAAATCAGACAATAATATTATGCAGTATAAACATTAAATTAAAAGAAGAAATTAAAAATATGTCAATTAGAGAAACGGGTAGCGTATATTCTATTTTAGTAAGAAAAGGACATTTTTGAATATGCCATGCAAGTTTTAGTTAGATTATTCCACTAGAATTTTGATTTGTTAGTTGTTAGTAAATTTTGTATTTATTTAACTTGATAAAAAAAATCGCGCTATTATACATAATATATCATGTAATAGCCAGTATGTTTTATATTTATAAGCTAAAGAAATTACAAAATTGTGGTTTTTTAGATTAATAATAAATTTTTTGGGGTTGATTTATTTGGTTTACTATTATTGTAAGTGACCTTTTTCTTTATTTCAAGATCCGTTTAAAATGTCTTTTTAAGAATTCAATAAATTAAGAATAAATGATCATAAGTTTTCAGTTTTAATAATTAATATAAACATAAATATACGCCGTTAAATTAATTAATAGATAATTTTTTTTTTATTAATGTTTCAACATTAGTTTGATTTAATATAATTTACTCCAAAGGATTTAATTTAAAAGGTGAAATTTGTTTTCATGTTAATTAATTTCTTAAATATAATTGATTAAAATAACGACGGAATGCCAATTCTTATTTACGTTATTACAGTAAATTTTATGATTGGATACCTAAAAATCGTCAAAAGATACTTTAGTTAAGTTTAAATTATGTTAATTAAGATAAAATCGCACAAAAAAATTAACATGCTGCATAGTTAGCTTAGTATAATTAACGGATTTGTTCGTTTCTATAGTAGATATGACTATTAAGATTTATTCCTTGACTAAGGTTTCTAATTTTTGTTAATTAAAAAACATAAGAACATACTACATAAGTTTTAGATCACGAGCGCGGAAATCGCCCATTGATTTTGGCTGTTGAACCGGGTCCGATTGATCAACTCTGGAATCTTTTTGATTTGTAATCATCATTTTGCCCATTTTTCAAATGACATTTGTGTAAAATCGATGTCATTTAATATTATTTGATATCATTTTAGTGTCATTTGACAACACTGATTATTGTCATTATATTTTAATTCTACGTCGGATCCAATGGGAACCTGGGCGAAAATTAGAATAGCCCACGAGCGCTTCGGTTAAGATTCCCTATATAGAAATCAATATAAATTTTCCATAATAGTTTAATTATTTAATATCAATTTTAAATTATTACTCAAGTTGCTTAATCCTGTGTAGATCTTTTAATGCTGTGCTATAAGATCTGCGGTAAAATCACAATAATCAATAATTTTGTTATTATGCATAATATGAGAACTAACCAAAATAATACAATGTTCGGAAAATGATCAGGTCATTTGATCAGATTTTCATTGAAAAAAAAAAAAATTCAAGTATAATGTATACCAGAATTATAGTATTGACATCGAATCATTTGAATCATTTGTCATTTGATAAGATATTATTTGTCATTTGTCGTTTGAATCATTTGTCTAATATCTCTAATATCCGATATGCATATTATGTCGCCGCGCAGTATTGTGTGGATTCACAATTGTAAGATGTACGACAAATGGCGTTTTTTTTTGTTTATCCTATTTTGTTTATCTTATTTTGGCTAGCATCGACTTACCGTAGTAATTTTTATAAGTGAATATTTTTAAAAAATTTTTTATTTTAATTAAAGATACGACAGCTATGACCGTTACGAATAAATCCGAAAATGAAAAATATGATGAAGATTTCTTAAAAAAGTTTTCAAGAGATTTTTGTCGAAAAATTATAGAATTAATTGATACAACTAATTTAAATATATTGGAAAATATTTTAAAAAAATGGATAGATAATATCGATAAGAATACCGAAAACATTTTAGAATCAATGCAAAAACATAAAGAAAATGAATTATTATTTTCTAGTATTATTGGATTTTTTTATCAACATGGTATTGGTTGTATTATTGATAAAAATAAAGCGTTAGAATTATATTTAATAAGTGTTAATAATAATAATATTATTATTAAAATCAATGAAAATTTTAAAGAATCTTTTATAAAATTAAATATTATTAATGAATTTGAAATATCATCACAAAATATTAATGTTATTATTGGAAAATTTTTATTATCATTATTTTATTATAAGGATATTATTTTAGATGAAAGAAATTTTAATAATTATTTATCATCTGCTAGAAAAGGTGATTTAGTTGCTCAATATAATTTAGGAAAATATTATTATAGTGGGAAAGAAATAACACAAGATTACAATAAAGCATTTTTATGGTTTTCTAAATCTGCTAATGATGGATATGTTAAAAGTCAACTTAGTTTAGGAAAATGTTATTATTTTGGAAGAGGAACAGAACAAGATTATAAAAAAGCAATTGAATGGTATTCTAAATCTGCTATTAATGAATATGCTAAAGGTCAATATAATTTAGGACTTTGTTATGATAGTGGAATTGGAACGGATAAAGATAAAGTGAAAGCATTTGAATGGTATTCTAAATCTGCCAGTAATGGATATGCTAAAGGTCAAAATGAGTTAGGGCGTTGTTATGAATTTGGTAAAGGAGTGGAAAAAGATTTTAATAAAGCATTTGAATGGTATTCTAAATCGGCCAATAACGAATGTGCTAAAGCTCAAAATAATTTAGGTGATTGCTATTACTATGGAAAAGGAGTAATGCAAGATTACAAAATGGCATTTGAATGGTTTTCTAAATCAGCTGATAATGGATGTGCTGAAGGTCAAGATTCTTTAGGATATTGCTATAAACATAGTAAAGGGGTGGAAAAAAATTATGAAAAAGCATTTATATGGCATTCTAAATCAGCTAGAAATGGGTATGGCAAGGGTCAAAATAATTTAGGAGACTGTTATTATTATGGGAGAGGAATAGCACAAGATTATGAGAAAGCACTTAAATGGTATTCTAAATCAGCTGATAATGGATATGCTAAAGGTCAAAATAATCTAGGATATTGTTATAAACATGGTAAAGGAGTAACGAAGGATTATAGTAAAGCATTCGAATGGTATTATAAATCAGCTATTAATGAATGTGCTAAAGGTCAATATCATTTAGGTTATTGTTATCATTATGGTATAGGAACTAGCATAAATATTGAAGAAGCAATTATTTGGTATAAAAAAGCTTCAAAGTGTGGAATAGTACGTGCTAGTGAAGAACTAAAAAAGATTCAATTTATAGAATAATATGTGCATATTAATAAAACTAGTATATTTATATAAACATTAGATAAATAGATTGATTTATATTAATTATAAACAATAAACAATATATTATATCATTTTTTTAAGAGATAATCATAATTAAACATTAAAATTATTATTTCATTTCATAATTATAGTATATTAGACTAATAAATTATAACCAAATTTATACCAGTAGGTAACAAAAAGTAATAAGAAAATAATATATTACATATCGAGTATTTATGATATTAATTAATTGATAATTATTTATATTTATACATTTATAATAATAAAATAATTGGTTTATTTCAAAAAATTGAATCTAAATGTAGCAATTTTTATACTTCATTACCGGGTATCTTGCAAATTTTGGGTCGATTGACGCTCGCCTGAGTGGGTTGTTTAAAGGACAAATTTATCCTGAACCGGGGTCCAGGTTCTTTATCCTAGAACCCCCTTATATAAATTAGTTTTTTCTTACAGTAATCGTCACTGGCGTCACGTGATTAATACAGTGGATAAGAACCCTGAATCCCGGTCTATTTAATTATTTTCACGCTAGGTGTTAATTGGTGAACCACATATAAGTAGTCTAACTAGTGTCTAACTACTACTTATAGCAATTTTGTAATACGATTATCTACAATTATTCCTTTTTAGTCCAGCCAGCTGATCAAACAAGCACGTATTTATTAACACGGTTATTTTTGCCAGTTATAGATTTTTGCAATCCACAATAATATAAATTACAGTACTTGGTTAACATACTTCCGGATTTTTTTTTAACCATCTTACTGTGTAAGAGAAGAAAAATAATTAAGATTTTCCAAACCCAAAGCTTCAAATTTATACAAGAGACGGAAGAAAAAGACGAAATTTTTTTTTGTTTTGAATTCCGTCCTTACTTTAAATTATTATCAATTGTTTTTTTTCAGTCAAGACAATGTTTTCCTTCAAGGTAATTTATATTAAAAAATTAATTACCTGTTACTAAAAGAAACGATTATTTAATCCAATTTTTTTCAATAACATTTTTTTTCTCTTATTAGAATATCCAAAGAATCTCAAAGAAAGTCAATGTGCCAAAGATGAACGTGATTAACGCGAAGAAATTGCCGGGAGAAAAAAAGTCCGTGTACCAAAAGAAGTCGCTGGGAGAAAAGAAAAGCGTGTCAAAAAAGAAGTTGCCGGGAGAAAAGAAAGTCCGTGTGTCAAAGATGAACATGATTAATGCGAAAGAAATTGCCGGGAGAAAAAAAAGGCAGTGTGTCAAAATGAACGCGATTAACCGAAATTGCTGGAATCTAAAGAGTAAAGAAAATAGCACAAACAGCACCAGTGTTATTTTATAAGCGCAGAGCACATTATTCATCTACATTCAATCATATGCGCGGAAATTTAAAAAGATGTACGCTGCGCAAATTGCGCGGATCCAATTTCCATCACTGAATTTATTTATTATTTTTATTTATAGCGCTCAACAAAATTTGGCATGAAAGGGTTAAAATCAATACAAAAAATTTGAAACATAGAGTCAATAATGTGTGCTAATGTTGATGATCCCATAGAAACAACAAAGTCGCCGTCAAAAATACAAACCTCTCAAAATGCGCGCGCAGAAGCCTGAGGCTGAAGTAATAATTATCAGTAGTGGCGATGATGCCACTACTGATAAAATGGAGTTTTTTCTCTTTTTTTTTCTTGTTTTTAGAAATATTAAATAAAATTGTTTTTTTTTTTCACGCGAATTGTGTGAAAGTCAATTATGGTTCGAAATTTTATTTATAATGGGAGTGCTAAAACACCGCATCGTCATTTAAGAATTCTATAATTGATTTAAAAAAATACGCTCAGTCTATCGCGATGATTTTGACTATATAGGTTTGCGAATGAACTAAATCAAAAATAACAATCGCATTATTTTTACCATATTACAGAATTTTGCAATCCGCAATAAACTATTAATTACCTATAAAACATTTACAGACTATCATTCAGCCTTTGCTTTCCGGCATTCAGCGTATAAAAATGTATAGAAACAGAATGGGCGACCTTCATCAAGGTTTAATAGGAAGTTAGTATGAATATGAATTATTTCGCAACTAATTAATAGATTCTTGGATAAGTGAGTTAAAAAGAAAGTTTTATTTTATTACAAGAATAAATATTTGACATTCTTTTCTTTAATCAACAGAGAATCCAACAGAAAGGTCATTCTGGCAAAAATTGTGCGACATGATTATACCACGTGTTGACAGTCTCCTTATTGAAAATATATTTTTAACATTCCGCGAAAGAGACAACTAGGGTATTTAACGTACGTTTAATATATTATCGGGTTTGTTGGATTATTGAAATCTGACAGTAATTTTAAAATTCAATTACAAAGGGTTCTTTTCATTTATTGGTGTATCCATAATAAAGACGTTGCATTTAAGACCTCGATATACTGATATTCGATAACGGCAAAATTATAGGATATCTGATATAACGATATTTTTAAAAGATTTTCATATGGAATTCGACATATCGGTATATCGGAGGTTGGTTAATAATACTCTCATTTTTTGTATTTACATCTCAGCCAAATTTTTCTCTTAGGGCGTAATACATCTTGACTAAAATAGTGTAGGGAGAGCCAATTACTCTTCATGGTCGATTTACTAATTTCTTTAGAGTAGGCTGTGGTTTCCAATTAGGTTTTTGTTCAGTTTGTTCGCTTTTCTTTTTTGTAGTTTTTTTTTTTCGGTCGTTTTTCCCCTTACTCCTTTCCATCGGGAAACTTTCTTCGGTTCAGATCTGCGGCGATCTGCGATTTTAGTAGTGTACTGTGCGCATGTACAAAAACGGCCATTCAATTCTTTTTTTAGGTTACGAAGGTTACGAGTTATGAAAATTTCGGAGTTTCGGAGTTTCAATGATCGTAGCGACGGAAATTCCTTTCCATGGTTATTACCTTTAAACATTTATAAATTTTTTTGAATTAAGATAAAAGCTTAAGGTGATTGTTTTTAGAATTAGGAAATTTACTTTAAATTAACTTGGATCATTATTGGCTACCTGCAGGTCTTGCGGCCGAATGTTGTTAGCCACAAATTTACTATGCCTTTAGCTTCTGATTAGAAATTTCGGATTTTCAAATGAAGTTTAATTTGGCAAGATTAATATAATATGATATTATTTTAGTGATATTTTTAAATAATTTATTTTATTCATTGTTTCGGACTATGCTTAAAATAAATAAGGGATCTACATTTTGGCGCTCCTCATTATTTACTTTTATTTGGTTATCATTTTACGCAGAATAATTAGGTAATATTACAATCATTATTTTACTATTTAATAGTATTTATTTCCTGTAATTTTTTATTTTTTTATTTTTTTATTTTTTTTTCAAAAAAATATATCGAATATGATAGCTACAATTATATCAAATTATGATGAAAATTTCTTAAAAGAATTTTTAAAAGATTTTTATCGAAAATTAATTAAAATTATTGATACAAATAATCTTATTACACTTGAAAATACTTTAATTGAATGGATAAAAAATATTGATAATAAGGATACAAAAATAATTTTGGAATCAATGCAAAATCATAAAGATAATGAATTATTATTTTCTAGTATTATTGGATTTTTTTATCAACATGGTATTGGTTGTATTGTTGATAAGAATAAATCATTAGATTTTTACATATTAACCATTAATAATAATAATAAAATTGAAGAGGAATATTTAAATCAAAATTTTACAAAATTATTATTAGAAGAAAAAAATGATATTAATAATATATTTAATATATTAAAATCTATTAATATTATTATTGGAAAATTTTTATTATCATTATTTTATTATAAAGATATTATTTTACATGATAGAAATATAAGTAGTTTTATAACTAATTGTTTAAAATCTGCTAGAAAGGGAAATTCGATAGCTCAATATAATTTAGGATATTATTATCAATACGGAGAAGGTATAACACAAGATTATAAGAAATCATTTGAATGGTATACGAAATCAGCTAATAGTGGACATACTGGAAGTCAAAATAATTTAGGGGATTGTTATTATTATGGAAATGGAATAAAACAAGATTATGATAAGGCATTTGAATGGTATACTAAATCAGCTAACAGTGGACATATTAAAGGACAATATAGTTTAGGAAAATGTTATTATTATGGAAGAGGAATAATACAAGATTATAAGAAAGCATTTGAATGGTATTCTAAATCTGCTAATAATGGATGTGCTAAAAGTCAAAATTATTTGGGAGAGTGTTATTATTTTGGAAGAGGAATAGAACAAAATTATGAGAAAGCATTTAAATGGTATTTTGAATCTGCTGGTAATGGATGCATTGAAAGTCAAAATTATGTAGGAGAGTGTTATTATTATGGAAATGGAATAGAACAAGATTTTAATAAAGCATTTGAATGGTATTCTAAATCGGCTAATAATGGTTATGCTAAAGGTCAAAATAATTTAGGTTATTGTTATAAACATGGTATAGGAGCGACAAAAGATTATAATAAAGCATTTGAATGGTATTATAAATCGGCTAAAAATGGATACGCTAAAGGTCAAGATCGGGTGGGTTATTGTTATAAACAAGGTAAAGGCGTGGAAAAGGATTATAATAAAGCATTTGAATGGTTTTTCAAATCAGCTAATAACGGATATGCTAAAAGTCAATATCATTTAGGTTACTGTTATCATTATGGTATGGGAACTAGCGTAAATATTGAAGAAGCAGTTGTATGGTATAAAAAAGCTTCAGATAATGGAATATTACGTGCGAATAAAATGTTAAATAAAATTTCTTCAATTAATTAAATTAGTAAGTTTATATTATTTATGTATATATTAGATATAATAATAAAATTATGATTAATATAATAAAAATAGCTTTTTTAACGCTGCAAATATTAGGTCGTATATATTGAAGTTTCAGTATTTTAAGGGCAAATTTACTGTTTTGTATCTAAAGATTAATTTTCCATTATAGCAATAATTTAAAACATTATAGCGCTCCTTTTTATTTAAAAAATATGTATTTACGCTATATTGAAATATCTTTGTTAGTTATATTATACGGGCTAGCCAGTATTATATATTTATATACTGACTCGTTACTAAATTTAATATTAATATTATCGTATTTGACCGTTATTAAGCACCCTTTTTATTTAAAGTGTCTGTAGGCTGGTTCCATTTCCTAGTATTAGTGATTCAGGATTATGTTGATTTTAACAATATAAATTTTATTTGATATAAAAAACTGAATACATTTAGAATCTAAATTAAAGCATATGAGAAAAAAAAATCGGGTGCTAGTGCCAGATAATTACTTTGATTAATTTTAATATTTTTTTACATGAACAAATGCTTTCCACCATGGTTTGACATAAAAAAATGATTTTCATGATCCAAATTTAATTTAAATGATATACATGTTACACTGGAATTTACATCTGGAGTTTCATCATTTAAGATAGAGCATATGATAAGTATAAGGGTAATATAGAAAAAAACATCTCTTCTAACTCTTCGCTTCCTTTTTCTTTTATCTGTTATTTTATTCGTTAATTTGTGAAAGGTAAAATACAAACAAATCTATCATGTAAATCACTATTTCAGACGATTACGTGATTCTTTGATTAGATATACGGTAAATGTAATGAAAAGATAGAAAAATAAATTCTTTCTTATTAATGTATTTTTGGTATGTATCAATATTATCATTAATAAACTGATTGTGGTGCGGACGGTTCCAAAGAATTTGTTTTAAAAAAGAAAAAAAGAAAATAAATAAAGGTTATTACGACATCATTTATTACCAAAAAAAATAGGACCAGTTAATTGTTAGGGAGTACAAAATCCTGCATAATGAGGATTATGATTTCTTTATTTCACATTGTTGATGTTCAATAAATAAAGTAATCAATCATTTTCATTCATAATGAATCTCATTGACTATATATGTAAACCTATTTCCAGTATTTTATTGATTATCTGACTTAATTGGTTAAAAGCAGAGATAAAATCCGATAATTCCGATAATTCCTAATTCTTACGTCTTGTTTAAGCAGTAAATATTTTGGTCATTAAATTATATTTGGATGTGGCTGAAAAACCAGTTACACACTCAGATATTCAGATACCAATAAAAATCGATCATTTTTTTTATTTTCAAATTTTAAATTTCAAATTTATTATGGCTCCACTTTTTGCAAATTCTTTATTGCAAGATATTGCTCGATTATTCACCGAACCTGATGATTATGATGTGTTACTTGAAGTTGGTGGAAGAAACGATAAAAAAACTTTTAAAGCTCATTCTTTAATTTTGAAAACTCGTTCTCCTTATTTTAAGGCTGCTTTATCTTCTAATTGGGTGAAAAAAGAAAATGATAAAATTATTTTTGCAAAGCCTAACATTACTCCAATAGTTTTCAAGAAAATTTTAAAGTAAGTTTATGAGTTAATTTAAAAGTTTTTTTTAATAAACAAATATTTTGATGATAAATTAATATTTTATCTTATTTATTTTATTTTCAAAAAAAAAAAAGATTTATTTATACGGGAGAATTTTCTTTGATGGACGATAATAGTCGAGATTTATTCACTGATTTTTTGATTGCTGCCGATGAACTTATTCTACCGGAATTAACAAAATACATAGAAGAATATATAATTACTTACGAAAGAGATTGGATTCAAGAAAATCTTGCTAATATATTTATTTTAACTTCATATAAATATGAAAATTTTACCAGACTTTGGAAACATTTTTGTGAATTATTAGCTCAACAACCAAACAAAATTTTTACTTCCCCAAGTTTTGTTTCGTTAGATAAATCAATATTACTTGAATTTATTAAACGCGAAGATTTAAATATTAATGAAATTGAAATTTGGAAAAATTTAATAAAATGGGCTCATGGTCAATCACCTGAAATTGATCAAAAGGATTTTAATAGATTGGAGGATCGATTAAAAGATTTTATTCCATATATAAGATTTTTTAATATTACAAAGGAAGATTACATTTCGGAAGTTCAACCGTGTGAGAAAATTCTTCCCGATAATTTAAGAAATGAATTAAAGAAATTCTTTAAATCTGTTGATATTTCTCCTCCACAATTTTATTCTCTTTCACCAAGAGTTCCTATTCTTCAATCTGTACCTGATTCTGTTGTAGTCAATAACAAACATTTGGCCCTTTTATCAAGTTGGATCGATTCAATGGATAATGATGAAAGTAATTATAATCTTTTAAATGATAATTATAAATTTAATCTGTTACTTCGCGGAAGTCGTGATGGATTTAAAGTTAAAGAATTTCATGAACTTTGTGTTAATAAGGGACCTACTTTAGTGATTATTAAAGTTAAAGGTACAAATCAAATCATTGGTGGCTATAATCCTAATTCTTGGAAATCAAATAATTCTTGGGATAAATCAGATGCTTCCTTTATCTTTTCTTTGGGTGATGGGAAAAATCTTAAAGATATTATTTTAAGTAGAGTTGAATATGGTGGAATTCCGGTTTACAATTCAAGTAATTCTTTATTAGGATTTCAAGATCTAAATTGGTTTGAGGGAAGATATAAAAACAATTATTTTCAAAAAGAAATTATGAAAGGACGATCGAGCGTTTGTAAGTTTACTGTTGAAGAATATGAAGTTTTCCAAGTTATAAAAAATGAAACAGATCATGAGTCGCGTTTTAATTTCATGGAGAATATGAAGGTTATATGGGAGATAAAAGAAGAATAACAGTGCATTATATTATTAACATATTTTTCAAATTAATTCGTTAAAGTTTCAATTTATTTTGCACCACTATAAAATTAGTTGACCATTGGTTGTAATTTATGGAAGGGCTTGATTGAATTTTTATTAAAAAAGTAAAAAAAATGATCAGCATAAAATATTAATTTCCCCCCAAGAAAAATGGAAACTTTATTTTTTAAAAAAAAATATTAATCTGGATGTTACGCGAAAGCGATTTAATAATTAATATAATTCATTACTTACTAATTATTAATATAAATAAAAGTTTTTATCACATAAATTTAACTACCTAAATTAAGAAAATAAAAATCATTTTTACAATTATTTGGCCGTACATTTTACCGACAATCATTTTAACCGACATATCGGCGGATTGCGTAATCACATGTTAGCCGAACATACTATAATAAACTTATTATAGTCAAATGACATGTGATTACTTAAATCCGACGTTACTTCTATTTTGTAATGGAATATAAAAAATAAAAAAAAATATTTTGTAATGGAATTATTTTTTTTTCAAACTATTCCTATTATCCTATTATTATTGTTCACAACTTTTTGGGTATAATAAAAAAAAATAAAAAATGGATATTTTTTTTTTTTTAATAGCTTGCGCTTCTAATGTTACAAATGTCAAATGGTTACCGGATTCGTAGGAACTAGAAATCACGGTTGTTGGTCCTTCGAGTGATTTGCCTGTAGAAGCCCACTGACAGAAACAGCGGTTATAGATATTTAAAGGATCCTAAATTGTCAATGACCAGCATTGTAAAGATGATGGTCTACTCCATTCACATCTGCACTAAGAGTGCACTAAATATAAATAAGGGGGGATATAGTTAATATTTTGAATTATCGTGCTCCGCTGTATGATGTTGATGATTTGTAATTTAATTATTTTTTATGCGTAAGTTTAATAATTACAATAAACTATATTTAAGCTATAAACAATACATGTGTTATAATTATTAATTATGGCTATTAGGATTATTATTGAAAATAATAACAGAATTGATAAAAACTTTATCAGCTGTTAATTTCGAAACTAATTCTTCCAAATTTTGACTTTTATTTTCTTGAATTTCATTTAAATCTTTTAATGGCCTTCTTGTAACTTTAATATTACTGTTTGCCGAATTAATAACTTCACGATTATCTAGAAAAAGTTCAATTTTGTTAAATTGATTATCAAAAAATAGAATAAAATTTTAGAATATTACCATTAAGCAATGATTTTGCAACAACGAAATTGTCTGTTGATAAAGTTGATTGTTCCATTGATTCTTCTATAGAAGAAAATTAGAATGCAGGTCATTTATTAATGATTAAAAATTTCAAATTTTTACCTGATCGAATATTATTTTTATTAAAACCAAATGCTTCAACAAGGTTAAAAGCATTATTTCGTTGAATTTCAGTTTCTGGACGCTCATATCTAGCAAGCCCTTGCTCAGACTTATGTCGTGTACTTGCCATACATTCAGAATTTGAAAATCCTCGTCGCTTTAATATTTGTACTAGCGTTTTCCGACCTGAATGGTTACTAATTTTGCGATCATCCACGTTAATTCCGGTTAAGGTAACAATTTTTTTCATAAAGGATTTAATTTCTTTTTCAGACACATGTTGCTTATGATACCATTGTCCATTAAATTCAACTGTATAATATGAAATAAAAAATAATAAAAATTTTGACATTAGATTTGTCAAAAAAAAAAAAAAAAATTTTAATATTTACCTTCACTAATATTGCATGGCTTTAAATAAAAATGTGGATCAGCTTGGGTTGGACGTTTGGTAAAATAATTTTCATACATTTCAATGATACTAGGTATTTCGGGAATGTATAACTTATCACCTTGAGATTCAATATTATTGGCACCGCGTTGATTAGTTTTTGATTTGTAAATGATAACATCAAATCCACCATATTTGTCTTTTCTTCGTATAAAATTTTGAAGCTGCAAATTGAAATGTTCTCCTCCCCTTAACCCTAAAAAAATAGCATTAAAAAAAAAGATCCTATATAATAAACTGGCAGGATCATTGCCAGACATTGCTGGATGATCAAGAATCTGAAGAAGATCATCTTCAGTAAATCCATCAGCACCGTTACGCTCCCCACGACCTTGACTCACAAGACTCTTAACTTTACCATTCAAAATCTGCCATAATTTGTAATATTGATCTTTATCCATAATGTTGATAGGTTTTGAAAGGACAGACTTATTATTCAAATGTCTATTTATTGCAAACATGCAACTATTAACTGAAGAAACATGATATTCAGAACCATCTTTTTTTCTCATTGCATTAACAAATCTACAAAGCTGATCCTCTAATTCTTCTTTTGTATCAACTTTCTCAATCAATCCTTGATAATTAATATCTGTTCTAAATTTTTCCAAAGCTCGTATCCAATTTGAAGTTGAATAATCAGTATTTTTACATCGGCTACTATCAATAAGATTGCGAAGCTCATCATCAGTAGGCTTTTTATAAGTAAAGTTCACCTTTAATTTCTTACAAGGTCATTTATCTTTGTTATCTTGCATCTTTAAAATATTAATAGAAAGGTTTTGTGTAAAAAAGAGAGTCAGAAATGGAGAGAAATGAAATTGGATAAAGAAAAAAAATGATAAAAGCTTAATTTATGAGTTTAATTCGAGTTTAATAAAAGTTTAAATAAAACATCATAATTTTACACGATAATATCATTATTGTGCTTGCGTTGATAAATATACAATTATTAACCAATGCTGCATTCTGATTGGACAGATTTGGCCACTACGTGGCCAAATCCTTACCAATCATCTGCTAGCATTGGTTAATAATTGTAATATTAATCGCTACAAGCACTATAATTTATAATTATATATTGAGGTTGTACTCCGGGTTCAGCTGCTGCTCCTCCTCATGCAAAGTATTGTCTTTTTATGAATCACGACTAGTTGAGCTTTATAATTACAATTTCTAAAGAAAAAAAATAAAAATATATATTAAATTATTATAACATACCATAATAAGTTTATTAAACGAATTTTTGTATAGTAAAATACTATATATCGGTCGATGTGCATGTCACAAAATTAGAGGGCAAATTTTTTGTACTATGATATCATAATTTAAATTTCATACATAGCATAGTCTTTAGGTATATAGTATATATGTAAAGTTCTAAACTAGCTAAAGTTTTCTTTTTTGTTTAAAATTACCGATCTTTAAATCATAATTTTGGCCCAAATTTTCTTAACTCTGGTCAAATTTATAGTGCCGGCCTAAAATTTAATAAATACGCTAACTTCATTTTAAAATAAATCTTTTGTACTACAAAATCTGAGTACATTTCCCAATAGATGAGATCAAAAACTATCATTTTCAAGTATTTTTAATTTTATACTTTTTGTCAAAGAAAAGAATCACAGGTACTCAAAACCACCTAAATTCTGTAATAAAACTTTTACAATTTCAATATGAATAGCTTTTCAAAGCCTATAGAAGATCATAATATTTTATTTGAGCAATTTTTAGGTGATAACAATTCAGAAGTAGAGCTAGAATATGATGAAACACTTTTAGAACAATTGATAAACCAAAATTCAATATTATTAGATGCTGAAAACATTGAATCAAATAAACAATCTAATATTTTCACATTGAAAATTTTTATGGGTACATGAAACTGTTCAAAATGAAGAAATAAATGAATATAATTCAAGTAGTGATGATGAAATTGATGATGATAATGAGCAAAATTTAAAAAATGAATCTGAATCGCATGAAAATAAAATATACATTATGGATGAAACATCAACTTCACTTTCACTATGTGCTATTGTTGACATAATTGATGGAAAATTACAAACATGCAGTAGTAAAAGATACATTTTTTAATTAATAGGAACTTGGCAAATTAATACAAGTATTGTGGCTAAATTTTTGGATGGAAAGGTTAATTTAGGGGTGTATATGTCACAGTTTAATTATGATCAAAAAAAATTATATGGGTCATATTAAACAAATAAGAAAAATGGAAAAAAGTATAATACATCAAAGAAGGTGTTTTTTTTGTAAGAAAAATTATTACTTTTTTAATCATGAAATGAATTGCTGCCAACATTCTTGGAACATCTTTAACAGAAATATACAAGTAACTTGCAATGGACAATTCAGTTGTAATGCACTTGAAGTATGTCTGAATATATCAAATTTAGTTAAAAAGGAATTTTCAGATCCTTAATATATATATTGCAGCTGTTTTGAAATCAATGGAAGGCATATTTATCAAAAAAATGGATCAGAAAAATCCAAATTCAATTGTGAAAATGATGGATTGCATGATGAAGATTCTGATAAAATACTTGTAGTATTAGCGAATTGGCTACTTCTTGTTGTAAAAAATGAAAGTAAAAATAGAAAAGAAATTATTCTTATATATGATATATTAAATCCTGCATTACACTTTTTTCAAAACTAAATATAATATTATCCAAAAGTACAAAAAAAAATATTGATATAGAATCTATTTGTAATTTTGAAGAAATTTGTAAGCTATTAATATTTTTCACCTCTACAATATCATCTATTAATACAGTATATACAGGATTAACAAATTATATTTAATTACCTACTCTTTTTATACTTTTTTTTAAAAATAAATAAAATTTCAAATACTTTAGAATTGCTTATTTCAGATAAATAATGGCCTGATATAGGAAATAAATTGGCAAAAGGAGTTTGGAAATCAAGAGAAGAATTGAATAAACAAAAAGCTGAAATTCAAAATCTAACATTTCTTGAAAATTACTATTTAGCTTTTCCATCATATTTAACTGAATTTTTGGAAATCTATATGAAGATATTTTAAAAAAAATATTAGAGATATTAAATAAAAAGTCTAAATCTCGAAATAATCCATTAAAACAATTTGATAAATTGCAATTAATAAAAATAGTAACTTTTTTTGTTTCAGTATTAATTGGAATTTTATTTTCATACTTGCAAATTTAATTTACTCAAGTACTTTTAAGTCTTAGTAGAAAACCAAAACTTAATCAATAATTCTGGTATTTTTTTCTACTTTGCAAATAAATAGACATACAGATGGTCAAGAAAAAAAATTAGAATGAAATTCATGATAAATTCATATCAACGGTTTGATAAGAGTGAAAATTTGGAATTAGATGTTATAGATAACATAAATTTTAAGGAAGCAACTTTTAGATATGAAAACATATTTGATACAATATATACAGTATCACACAGGTCAAAAAGTGAAAAATCAGGCACCAATTGGTGACTGATTGATGCCTGATTTTTCACTTTTCGACCTGTGTCAGTACACATGCTATACTCAAAATAGTTTTTTAACACTAAATATTTTTTAATTTATATGAAAATAAGAATAATGAAAACTAAAATAGTTTTCCATTTGAGTTATTTGGTATGAATCAAATGATAAATAATACTTTAAATATTTTTGATTCTGTTTTAGATAACTTACTCAATATTTAAATTAACTCTCAAGGCATTGCAATATATCAGACAAATTTTAATATAACCATTATATATGATGAAATCTTGAATTAGAGATGCTGAGCAAAACTGAAATATTTAATCATTTGACGAAATTGAAATAGTTTAGACATTTAAAATTAAAAGACAAAATGCTAAAATTTAATATTCCATGGTATTTCTATAGATTTTTCATAAATTTCCATGGATTTTTAATTATAATAATTACTTAAAAAAATAAATTTTTATTAAAATATAATATTTTTTAAAAAGAATTTATAAAACTATTATAAATATAATTAATTTTATATATCTTTATAATAAAACTATAATTTTATATAAGGATTAATTTAAAATTCACTGGGGTGAATTTCACCTTATTTCTGTTGTATTACATAAATTTTTTAATAAATTACACAAACAGCACGGTAAAATTCACCTCGATTTCTATTGTATTACAACAATAAATTACACAATAAATTACACAACAGTATGGTGAAATTCACCTCTGGTGAATTTCACCCCTTTAATTTTCGTAACATATAAACTCAACTAACCTTTAATGTTTACTTTACCGCCACTTTCCTTCTTTTGTTTTTTTGTGTTCTTTAAAGAAAAGGCCTTCTTTTCTTAGTAATGGATAACGTTAAATCGTTAGCTTATTCAGATAATCATGATTTATACTCTTTCTCATCATATTCTGAACCTTTTAATGAAAACCTTTCACTATATTCACAACTTTTTAATATAAACTCTTTATCACATAAGTTACTACCATCTGAACTATTTTCTAAGCCTTCTGACCTACTTGCTGAACCACTTTTTAAGCTACTCTCCAAGCTTCCTTCTGAACCACAACCACCTTTTAAGCAGCCTTCTGAACTGATACTTTCTAAACCACTTTTTGAAATACCATCCGGACCACTTTCTGAAATACCATCCGAACCACTTCCTGAAATACCATCCGAACTACTTCCTGAAATACCATTCGAACCACTTCCTGAAGCACCTTCCAAACTACTTCCCGGATTACTTTCAGAACCACTTTCTGAGCCACTCCCTGAACCACGTTTTGAGACATATTTCGAACTAGATGAAAATATAGACTCTTTAGAGCAACCTAATAA